TTGAAGGCAGTGAGAAAGGAAAATCCTCTCAAGCTTCCTTTAATCAACAAAAGTATGTCAATCAGTACTTTCTTTAAATCTAAAACCGAAACCTGGCACAGACTTCAAATACCTCAGGCCTCACTTTTGTTGACATATTTTCCTGGCAACTGGTAGACTTACTAACATGATTGTGTTGGCAGACGTGGCAAAACATTTCCCCACTCCCATCACATGATGTGCATGCATGCATACCGGGGTGGGTTCCTGCCAGTTCTAACCTCTTCTATAGAAAAGGTTCCACAAATCTACAGTGCCGTTTAGAACCGGTTCCAGCTCCTTCCCCCTGCCCATCTCCATATCAAGATGAATAGCAAGAGAGGAATTCTGGGAATTGAAGTCCACAAGTCTTAAATCTGTCAAGTGTGAACACTTCTGGGTTTTTTTCTAAAGGGTTAGGGGTGCAAGGGTCTTGTAACTTGATAGCTTTAAGACTTGCACTCTTCAATGCCAGAGTTCCTGAGCCAACATGACTGGAGGAAGAATTCTGGGAGTTGAACTCCACAAGTCTTAAAGCTGTCAACTTTGAACACCCTTGGGGTATTTTTTTTCTAAAGGGTTAAGAATGCAAGGGTCTTGTAACTTGACAGCTTTAAGATGTGTGCTTCAAATGCCAGAGTTTCTGAGCCAACATTTTGGTTGCTAAGCAAGAGCATTGTTAAGTGAGTTTCACCACATTTTGCAAGTTGGCCACGCNATAAAGCAGAGTTACAGCAAACCCCTACCGCCCACCATGAAAGCTGGAATGCCCACTAGTGGGCGGTAGGGACCAGGTTGACTATCACTGATCTAATTGGACCAGTAACATTTGCATATTTCATGCTTCCAACATGCATACTATATGTTTTCTGGCTTGCAGAAGTCAGAATGTGGTCTTTAAAAAAAATCAATATTATATTTTAATCACTAAACAACAATGATTTATGGGTATCTATAACTTCAAATTTGAACATTCTGAATGCTGCATAGACTGCATTGTTATTCCATGAAACAATTTGGATAATTTTTTTTTAAACTGACACCGTGAGACCACGAGCACACAATGTTGGTCAGATACTGAAAATATAAAGATAGCTACAACTATAAAATAATTCTTCCACTCAATGTCTGGGTTCACAACCTGCTAATAATATAATTTGATGGCTTTCATTCATTTTGGTTTGTATAAGGGATAAATCAAGTCAAAGCTGCTGTGACCTTGTAGCTAAACAAACTACTTGTGCAGTTTATTTAACTAACAATACAGAGAGAAGACCGAAGCCTCCCTTCCATGCCCTGAGTTATCCAGCTGGACTATTTTCTGGATTACAAATGAACTCCCACCCTGAAAAGGCTCTGAGTCTGCTTTGGTGACTGTATGTTTTCTAAGAGGGTGGAAACTTTCCCAACCAGAAACACTGATGCCATTTCTGTGGCTGAAGTATTGTTACAATAGGGTGAACCCAGCCATTATCGGCAAATCATTGTTAAAATTACAACTGAAATATTACTATTGTCCATTCAATAAACTATGATTAAAACCCATCATGACTTAATATGATACAGAACCCAGCTACTGAGAAAGCACCTAGAATTTTTAAATAAGGAAATAGCATTGTAATGAGTTTAATGCTGTTTGAAAAAACACCACCAGATTTCTCACTTTGGAATATTAACAACTGTACATATAAAACGGCTGAATGCATACAAGATGCTTGGCCAGATAAATTACAATTCACTAAGTAAACTACAATTAACTACGTACAAGTAGTCCTCAAGTTACAACAGTTCATTTAGTGACCATTCAAAGTTACAACAGTGCTGAAAAGTGACATAACCATTTTTCACATATAACCTTTGTAGCAACCACATGATCATGTGATCAAAATCCAGATGCTTGGCAACTGGTTCATACTTAGGACCGTTACTGTGTCACAAAGTCATGTAATCACCCTTTGCAGCCTTTTCACTTAAGAACTGCAGTGATTCACTTAACAACTGTGGCGAGCAAAATCAGAAAATGGGGCAAAGCTCACTTAACAAATGTCTCACTTAAGAACAGAAATGTTGGGCTATAAGTCAAGGACTGCCTGTATATGTAACAATCTGAAACATAAATATTGATTCATATAGTATGCTAAGATGCAAACAACTTTGGCTTAGACTGTTGCATCAACCCAGCCACAGACTGATTTCACATATCATGCTAAGTCATTATTTATAATCCACAGCAGATTGGTTCATGCAATCCACTGGACCAGTGTTTTTCAACCTTGCCAGTTTGACGTTGTGTGGGTTGCAATTCCCAGAATTCCCCTGCCATCATACTAGCTGGGGAATTCTAGGGCTCGAATTATCTTCAAGGTTGCCAAGGTTGTGAAACACTGCACTAGGCCAAAATGGACCATACCACACAATTAAAGTGTACTATGTCATGGTCATATAGTGCAAATGTTAACCTGTCCTTATGACATGAATTTTCCATAAAGAATCAAAGTGGCTAAGAGACTTGTGACAATGCAGACCAGCAAACCTTAGGCATATTGAGATCTTATTCCTTAGCTGAACTATAACTCATCCAAAGTGATGATACCTTTCCTAGAAAATCAGATTTCTTCTGTTGGGATGCAGCTGCCTGCATTATTGTCTAGCCTGGTACAAGATCAGCTGTGAAATATTCAATTCTCTTTTTAAAGCAGCATGACAAAACAGCCACATTTCCCTTTTATATAGAAAGGAAGCTCCTCCATCCAATCGCCTCTTATTTCCCTCTTTATTCCTTCACCCCTCCTTTAAAAACCTTCCATAATTTCTTCTTGTGAAGGAGGTTTTTTTCCCCCCAGAAAAAGAAAGATATACACAGAAAACCAGGAAGCTCTAAAAGGGACCTTTTACATATGAGGCAAGGAATAAAGCCACAAAATAAGCACAAACATATTTAGAGCCATAGCATCCATTTTCATGCAAGCTATGGTGATTTTTACCACTTGTTGTAGCCATAATCATGCAGGAGCTAGATAAATATTCCAAGACTCCATTTACAAAAACAATTTTTAAAAGTTTTCAGATCATTATCTATTCAGAGTGAAAGAACTTAGCCACATTTACATATATTTTCACGTATCTGAAAGACATTTTAGATGAACAGGATCATTGAAAGTATCACACATTCTCTTTTAACAGGCCAGGCATAAGTTGTGTACAAGTGCAAAGGGAAAGGGAAGGGTTAACATTCAATTCAACCTGAATGAAATATAAATGATGTTTTAGTGGTAACCTCCACTAAAGCCCTTGAGCCAAAAGAGTAAAATAATGTAACAGAAATATAAAGAGCCACAGATAATGGTTTGTGACCCGCATACACATCCTTTCATGTTTTCCTTTGAAAGTTTTCAAAACAATGACTTCACACGAATAATCAGAACTATAGTACTTTTTTTAACCCAGGTGTTTCTTCTACAGTGACCTTATTTGCAATCACCACATTAAATGTATCTTTCATTGAAATGGTAATCTATTATTTTTCAAGGTTGTGGAAACAAAATAATTATCCCATTGTGCTGAACATACAATATTCATGGGGATCAAGTTAGAAAATAGTGGAGGGAAAACTAGGAAGGCTCTAAAGCACAACTTAAGGTTGTTTATTATTAATGAAAATCTTTGACAATACCAAATAGTTGATGAATATCCTGAACCTAGAAGCTGAACAGATCAAAGAAAACTGCTTATCAAAAAAGCAGAAGTCCTAAGAAGCATTCCTGCAATATCAGGATTGCATTCATCCTTAATCTACGCTGTGCTGCCTAGCCAGTCTTCCCCAAATTGATACATGCCCCATTATCTACAATCCAGGAGGACCACTCTGACAGGTATCTCAAAATTATGAAAATGGTGTGGTTCCACACATCCAGCTGGATCAGTCTGATCTAAACAGACAGATGGTGCATTATTGAGGGGGGGGAATGTGTGTTTATGAAGATTCGGGAACACTGCCAACCAACTAATGCACCCTTAGTACTCACTTTTCTCTTGGAATCAAGTGGTGCCTAAAGTTGAACTGTTCTGGAGCACTGCATGTTTGGGCAGAAGCACTTGGGCCGCGTTCAGACTAGCATTTTTACCTAGGAGGTAGGTAGCTGCAAAACCTACCACCTCAACATTTAGCAGTAAATATGCAAGATAACTTAATATTTATTTCTTTGGGCACCCTCAATTGCCAACAGGACATCCGTTCAAAAGGGAAGCTCTGGAATCTCGCATATTTATCAGGCTCCAATGACGCACATCTCCTGTGGTTCCTGGCCTTTTTGAACCCTCCTTCGCGCTTCAAGCATTAAAGTGGGGGAGAAGGGTCACTTTAAATTGAGATCTTCCCCTTAAAAGAACGCTGCGCCCCATTATTAGCCTTCAAGGCCGCCCAAACGTCCAACGGACACGCGTTCTGTGTTCTCCACTAACTCTGGCCAACGCTTGGCGGAGTGTGTGTGTGTTTGTGTGTGCTTTGCGTGAACATCAAAAGCTGGAAAGCAGTGAACTCTCGCGATCGGCCTCCCGGAGCCCAAGCCTTCATCCCAAACTGCCATAAGGCGCTCAAGGCCGCGGAGAGCCTGGGTTTGTTTTGTTTACCCGCGCGGGAGGCCAGCTTGTCTGCCAGAGATAAGCGAATATGTGCGCGCGCGTGTTTTGCTCGTAGCCAAGGAACTCGGGGTTTTGCAAAAAGCCCTTCTTAAATTAAGAGCGACAAACAACGGCAGGCACGATCCTTCCGTGATCTACGTGTCCTCCTCGGTAGAACCCGGGAGCCAACGGGGGCCGGCAGGAGAAATCGAGAGACCCGGTGGGAAAGAAGGAACAAAGATGGGAAGTTAGCAGAAGAAAGTTTGGAGAGAAGCAGAAGAGGACTTGGAAGCGTCCTAAGCAAACAGCTGCGCCGGAGAAAGATCCAAGCGCGGAGGAGCAGCCGGAGTCCTATTTCTTACCCTTGGTCCACTCCACAACTTGCTTAGGATTCCACTTGGTTACGGGCTCCATCCTCTTATTCCTCGGTCCAGCCTTTGCTCTGTCCCACCACCCGGCAGATCCGGATTCCAGCAAGGGACAGCCGGCCGGAGCTCCAACTAGCTCCTTCCTCTCTGTCCCCAACCACGGATTTCCCCCTTCGCGTTCCCATCCGAGCGGGCAGCCCGCGCGCCGCCCGCCCTCCCAGCTCCGCCCTTCGGCCCAGGCCGGCCTCTCCTGCGCGTCCAGCCCCTCCTCCACGTGTTTGGCACTCTTGCCAGGAGACCCGTGCAGAGGCGCTGGCTCGCTCTCGCCCTCCCGCCCTTGGCGGCTCCGGGGCTTCGTCTCTCCCGCGCCCCCTGCAGGAAGGAAGGGCTCGGGCCGCTTAGCTCAGGTTACAAAACTGCGGGGGAGGGGGGGGATTGGTTGCAGTCGTGGGGACCCGCCCGTTTTTCGCAGCTCTTTCAACCTCCGGCTCTGCGCGGGGGCTGGAGTGAAACTCCTGAAAGGCAAAAGAAGCCCAACCCGGCATGGACCAGAGGCGCCCACGCAGGCTCCCTGCTCCGGCGGGTGTACTTTGTTTTGCAATGTGAAACCCCACTGGAAGTGGTTGCCAAGTATGTACATCTGCGAGCTTGGGCGGGGGGGGGGGGGGACGGGTCCAAAAAAAATAAACGGAA